AAAACAAAGACTTTATGGTTAAAAACGCTTCTGCTGAGCAAATTTGTAGTTTCACTTGTCGCGTCTTGACATGTTTGCGTTGTAAACAAGACGTCTCTAACTCCCGTGGGACTTTTAATTATTCATTTCTTTTGTACGAGATCAGGAATATCATTGTGTGAATAGCCGTCCTTAAGCCTGCCGCACACGAGAGCTATCTGCTGAGCAAAAAGTTACTCGTGCCTGTTAGCTCAGCTGATAGCTCACCGATCAAACATGTTTGATACGTGAGAAAAGGTTGCATGAGGCAAAAAACTCAGTAAAATGTACGCGCACACGGTGAGCTATCGGCTGAGCTAACAGGCACGAGTAACTTTTTGCTCAGCAGATAGCTCTCGTGTGCGGCAGGCTTAAAACGCTTCGCCGTCCCGTTTGCTTAAGTCCCTATCATGTCGAATTCGTATACGACACAAGGGAAAGCTTTGCCGGACAAAGTCAGGCAGGAAATTATAGAGAAGTTGTTGAATATCTCGTCTTGTTTACAACGCAAACATGTCAAGACGCGACAAGTGAAACTACAAATTTGCTCAGCAGAAGCGTTTTTAACCATAAAGCCTTTGTTTTAATCTCTTCAAACTCAACTCAATTCATATATACATGCAGTGGATAATACACAACAACTCTTCTTCGCAATAATTTATATTATTTGAAGAAGTTTGTTTTGGCTGTCGTCTTATGGTCCCTACTATGTTAGGCGCGATCAAGTTTGGAAGTTCAAATCGAAGTTCGGAAGTTCATTTCGAAGTTCGGAAGTTCGTTTCGAAGTTCCCGCCCAACTTCCGAACTTCTAAACGTAATTGGGAACTTGAGAACGAACTTCGCAACCGCGTCTTGAAAAGTGAACTGAAATCGACGATAATCGTAACATTGTTATTTAAACCAGTACGTAGTTTCCTTGCGTTCACATATTTTATCATGGAGTCATCCAAGATAACAATATCATTAGTACGAAATTCTTGAGCTTGAGATTCCTGTGCTTGCGTCCAGTAGAACCAGGCGTGTAGCCATGTTCGGGATAGGCTTGCTCGACGTCTATCGATCGTGATATTTTCGTCATCATCCTCTACGTTTAATAAACTATATCGTCCTTGTTTTAGTTGAGAGTTCTGTTTGCTATTTTGGTTCTGTTTACGTTTCTGTTTACGGTTCTCTTTTGTTTGTATGACTTCATCGGGTTTGTCCTCAGCCTCAGGAACAATTATAATTTCGGTGTTGGAGGGCTCTTTGTACGGCTATCATGGTCTACTTGTAGTATTTTGAAAGCCGTAATAAGACTTTTCTTCTCGTTTTCAAGCTCTTTAACTATCGTCTGAAGATCAGACATAGCAAGAGAAGCAGTGGCATTCTTTTCACGTAGTTGCTTATTTTCTGCTTTCAGCATTTTGATTTGATTCTGCAGGGCCATAACATAGACATCAGGTAAAATGTCTTGTTTGAGATTATTAATTAACTGCCGATGGTAAAGCATCGATTTTTGCCGTTGTTGTTGCCACAAACTGCTCCATTTTAATTCTGAAATCATCTTGTGTAGAATCGCTTGACTGCATGAGTGCTTTCTACATCCCAGACCCAGGGGATTTATAGAATCAAACGTATGCAAATCACCGTCATATTCAGGCGGACTTGAGTTCGCCTTTGATTCCTTCCTATTTTTAACGATTGAGATTAGCTTTGCCTTTGCTTGGTTTGATTTTTCCCCTTTAAATGTTAATGTACTAGTATCTGAGTACCAACGTATGGCCAATTCCTGGGTTTCACACAATTTGGCTCTACCGCCTGGGGAAGTCCATTTCGTCGCTGTCGATATATGATTGATATTTATCTTTTAGTGCTTCAAAATATCCTTCCCATTTCAAAATACCTTTCCCTGTTACAACCACTGATCTAATAGATCAGTGGTTACAACCAGATAATCTGCAATACTAGTATCTTCTTTATTCGAATCCGCAATTGAGTTTAACAGATCATGAGTCGTATCTAATATACTTTGATCAGAGCTATTTTCTGCGTGACCGTCTTCCATCGTTGTTTTATTTTTTTATTTTTTTATTAATTAATTCGGTTAGAGTTAGGGTTGCGGTTAGGGTTAGGCGTTAGAGTAGGGGTAGGATTTGGGTATAGTTACATAGCCATTTAACACCTCATCCATCTTCCCGAAAATGCCGTACGAATTCGTCAAGCGAAAAACGCGTACTGATTGTGAACGCATAAGACACAGTTACTGTGGGGTTTTACTACGATGGATTTGTTAAGTGTGCAACTAAGTAAGGTCCTACAATTAGAATTGTGAATATTTTAATCTGGAATAACCATTATAGCGCAAATTACCGGTATATCAATGACCTGTTTATGCCCGCATATATTATTTTCTGACTAAGTTCTAGTCTAGCTAGCGAGTGGCGGCCATTCACTTTTTAAAGTTGTCGATTGACTATACTGAACACTGGACAGGGTGGGCAACGATTTATTGCTATTTAGATTCATGTACGCGTAGCGTACCTATTTTTAGTCATCATTTACCAAGATAATGATGCGCCGTACCAAATTGGCTGTTGAAGTACTGATTCTGTTTTGTCTGATTTAAACTCTGTCCATAGCATTTTCCGCTTGAGTGTTTTCAGTTTTGTTGATTTTATATACAGCTAATGCATGTAGCTGCTATTAAAGAGCTTTCCCGAAGATATTTCAAAATATATGTTACAGTTTATAAATATTAGGCTCAGGGATGCCGGAAGATCGATAATAGCGGGTGCAGATATTCATATATTCGTGTTCACAGACTGTAAAAACAATCGATTTCAAAAGAAATTAATTGGGCAGAACAGGAATATATGAATATCTGCACCCGCTATTATCGATCTTCCGGCATCCCTGATTAGGCTGTTAGTATAATATGGAAAATTTAGATCAGGAATCAAAGTCACTGGCCAGCCAGAAATTTTCATATTTTCTGAACCTCGCTTTCCCACTGGGCGAAATTGCTTGGAGGAAGGGAAATTCACCGCGTCCTATTTTTTCAAGGCAAGTTTTTTTTTCGCTAACCAATCCGTACCACTGAATGTAGTTTTTGCTTGAAGGTACACTCCGGCTTTACAGCTTCAAAAAGTAGTACAGAAACCTTAAAGTAGTACCTTGAATTCCATACCCTTTTGAGACGCTCAAAATATTTTATATTACTAACGGCAATTGTTTAATAAGAATAATTTTGAATGTTTGTCCCACAATTTCTAGAATAAACCTTAACAAAATTTAGAATTTCCAAAATATCATATTGTAACCCCCCTCCCGCCAATTCAGGACACTTTTGGAGAGCCCCCCCCTTGTTAACATTCCAGGACTACACCACTGGTCAAAGCATTGCATTTTAAAGCAAATTGTATGGATTTTTTTTAAAAATAAAAGATCTTTTCGGAGATCTATGGTTTAAGGTTTTTCAAAGGACAATCTTTTGGAATTAGCTGCGGTATAGTTTTGCAGTTCTGACTGAGTATAATCTTAATCAAATTCATTACAATGAATGGTGTTATTTGAAGCTGACATATTACACAGAAATGTCAAAAAATCTTGTCAAAAAGATTTTGTCTCCCCATCAGCAGATTGTTGGGCAACCTTGTAGGTAATACCCTAGGTACGAGGTTGATTGTTGGGTTGTTCTGTGATAGCGGTAGCCTTGAAGGTGGCATTAAAACGATAATTGGAACAAAAACTGACTTAGTATTTTTATATACACATTGTACAGTATTCAGTGGCAAGCTAGCCATGGCCGACTGGACATGCTATGCTAATAAACCTGCATCTATTTGAATAATGCAAATCATTAAAAACTTGCATAGCATGACCTGTTGCCATGACTAGCTTCGCCACTGACTGATATTTACCCTAATTTTAAGTGTCATACTATTTTTGTACTTTGTAGTTTTTATGGGAACCTTGGTTCCGCTACTATAGGTATGCCAACCCCCAATCTCGTACCCAGAGCCATCGTTGATGGCTCTGGGTACGAGATTGGCCAACCCTTGCCCAACCTTCTGGCGGAGTGATCTAAAGAGGCCTGGGGACTATAGATAAAAATAATGAAAACAACATTGGACAAAAACGAAATTAAAATGTAACTTAATTACTTACGGTTTTCGTGAGAATGTTTCGCACGTTTTTTGATTTGATTAAGCTTTGAGATGGTGCCAAAGCCACCTGAAAAGAGTGATCAGAGCACTAAAGGAAAGCAAGAGAAACGAGAACACTGGCCTGTCAATGCACAAGGTCCGCAAGATGGAAGTGGAACAGACGAAGAAGGTATTTAATAAAGTTATTGTTGTGTGTGTTTATATTTTGAGCTTACATGTGAAAAGGTGCCGGAATACAAATACAAACAGTTCTCTTATACACATATAGTTTTGTTAGAAAGTGTTAGAGCGTTATTGTTTAGCTGATAAATTGTTGTTGTAGCCTTTAGTCTGATGCAAATATAAGTGACGTGGTTATAGAAAATGAAGAAATATTATGATAGATATAGTATTATTATGTTCATTTAATGAATTGTTTTATAGATTCCAATGATGTTGCAATTTATAACTTGATTGATACAATTAACTTGATGATTACACACCTAGCTGCCAACCGTCGCAGATTTGTTGTGAGACTCATTATTATGACATGCTTTTTAAAGCATGAATTAAAATTCTCTAATTAAAATTCCCTAACCCCTAAGCATGAATTAAAATTCTCACAGTACGTCTCATGAGGAATTCTGTTTAATTAATTAACAAAGTAAAGTGGATTGATGGGCTTATAATTGTTGAAACAACCCTTGTTTTGTAGAAACATCGCACTCAGTTTCCAGTAAAGTGACTGTGACACTGAATTTGATTCCAATATCTTATATGTCCAATAACACATACAGTACATGTATGGAGTATTTTTTTAGCAGAAACATTCATGGATTCAAAAATTTGAGCGAAATGAAGAACCAACGTTTTTGTACATGCAATCCATAATAAGGAAAGCTGGGAAATTTCCAAAATCTTACAGTTATTCACCTCTAAATTTTGTAAAATGCAACTGACGATTTCTGTCACAGGGTTGGCAAGTGTGTATATAATTATCCAGACTGCAGAGCATGGCCACTAGTTGGAAATTCACTGACACACTCAAAATATTGTGCAGGCAATATTCTGTTTTTCTTTGCTTTAGGTGTATAATTTTACTGTAATTTCTAGTGCCAAATATCACCAATTGAAAGCGGGTGGGCAAATTAACCTGTCTTGAAACTACTAGGCTGTGGTCGAAAATGACCAAAAAGTGTGCAGGCGATTAATCGCTAGACTTGTGATAATGTTAGTCATATTATTTAGCTGTGTGGTACGTTGTGCTCAAAATTCTTAAAGTGTGGATTTTAGCGACGAGGGGTTTTGTCAAGTCGACTTGTTGCTCGGGCAGTGCACCAAATTGTGCTGGCTCAAATTGTAGTCAGTGTGTATTAGCCAAACACATTTAAGAATTGACCATCCAGGAATTTGTCATATATGGCATGCATTTTTACAAATTGAAAAGAGCTGGTGCAGCTTGGTGAACGATGAACCATGATCTACCCTTTTAATTATAATGGTCTTTAAATTTTTTATACTGTCGCTACCAATTTTATGACCTTATGTATGACAACTCTGTCTGAAGTTTTTTTAGCTTTAGTTTTAACAGCTTTATTAGGAACAATAACAGCTAGTTCCCAAAAGAGAAAGTAACGAACAGGTCGTAAGGAGGGTGGAGGGTGCACTAATAGGGTGAGGCGGTTCAGGGTAAAAACCAAAAACTGTAAAAAAGCAACAACCAAATTTATGTCAAAATATAAGTTATGTGCAGTTAGATTATAAAACTCGTGCTACATGATGTATGATCTTCTTAGCTTCAATGCTTTGCAATTTTGCACAAACATATGGCATTACTGCCATTTAGTTTCAGTATTACTGAGTTTCAAACAGTTTTTCCAGTTTTTTCTGTTTTTTTTTGCCTAGGACAACTGGTTGAATCGGTTTTCATAAAAACATCATTTCCCCCCAGTTTATTTATTAATCCTAGGTGCACTACTGCACTCAGGAATTTTTAGTGCACCTAGGAATTTTTAGTGTGCCCACACTCAGGGTCTTATCAAAATATAGCTTTAAATGCCCCAAGAGTCTTGATAACACGTCATTGTAATGTCACTGAATGTGTATTTTAATCATATTATGGCCTTGTGTTTGGTCGTATCACATAGAACCACATTATAGGCATTGTCTATTGTTGGCGAGCACAATTGGAACCGTGCATTAATTTGGCTATTCTGGGTAAGACTGGTACATGCCCTGCATTTTGGAAGCACTCTCCCAAAATCTTAAATCCAAGCTATGCCTTTAATTGTATGCCCACACTAATGTCTTACATTTTGTAATTTTGCACCCCAAGATCTTGTTGAAAAGTGCCTTACTCTGCAGCCTGGATAATTATATAGTATACAAATAATGAATGTTTATCAGACTGAGTGTATGATGGTAAAAATATTTTCATGAGGTGAAAGTTGGAATTTTCCATTCCTTTAGGCGACAGCCGATTTTTATTGAATTTATAATGTTCATGAAACAAAATTAATACATTCTAACATCCCTGAATTGCAACTATAAACAATTTGAATGTTTGCTATTCACTTTTTATGTGTTGGTTAAGTTCTACATCAGGGGTGGAAAAAAAATTTTACTTTCTGGGACTGCCAAAGGGCAATAAAACATTTTCTGTGATAAATCAAGTAAATCTATTTTATTAATACTTGGACACTGTAACTGTATAACCTTAACAAGTTGTCAAACTGTATCGGTCATGCTATATTTTCGCAGAAAAAAATTATTTCAGTGACAGTGCACTGAGAATCTTAATAATACTTTTAGGAATATGACAGAACTAATTCAGATAACATCAGGGGTCTGATCCTGAGATAAATTTACAGATGCAAAAAGGGGGGGGGGGGGATCTTGGGGCATGCTGCGCCAGAACATT